CTTATTCGCTCATCAATGTTTGCAATGCATAATGATTATGTAGATCGGATGGCAATATATATTCTTAATGAATCATATAAACGACATATACATGCCTCTTCTATTGTTCCCTTGTGTCACTAAAACATAAACACAGATGTAATCATATATGTATAAGGTTACACATGATACGTCATTTAAATCGTTTAATCGCCGAGGGAGGAGAAAAGAAGAGCCACATTATTCTAACCTTATTGAACAGTATTGTTACTTTTTAATTGACTCAACGACACCTGACAAAAATTCTTACAAAACGGCGGTCAGTACAATAACTATGTCCAGTACTCATTACTGCCCAATGGTCAATCATGCCTATCTCTTTATGGCCAATACTAAGTGACCACTGCAACATGTGGTATTGAATGAGGGGTATTAGACTAGCATCATTGACCGAAGCAAATTAAAAGATGAAGTTTTAGGAGACAAATTACTTTCCATTGGCCTTTTATTAGCTGACCATTGTACTGGTCACTATTTAATTTCGGCCACATGACAAACGAAGTGACCATTGACTATATAACTAACACATGACATCCATAGAATCCATTTGTATACAAACAAATGACTATAGCTTTATGTATTTCCTATAAAATCGGTGAAAGCGGTTAAATTTTGAAAATAAAACTGTTACAAAATTGTAAAACTTTGATGGCTTTCACTGAGTACAATTTGTAAAGTTTTAATGTAAATCCAATTCTTGTGAAATTGTTCAACTTTAAATAATTGCTAACCGAGGTGTTAAAACTTCATTATGAAATTCAAATGAAACAGAGTTCTCAATTTTTGGAGCATCTTTAATTTCAAAACTTTTCGTCTCTAAATAGGATTAGGTACATTCAATTTATATAATATTACCCCTGCTGTACTTGGACCTTCTATACCGAGGATGTTTGTCAATTTATTCTTGTAAAAAATGTAATAAATATCACAAAAAAAATCAGCCCTGTTAACTCTCAAGTTGCGCCAAAACAAAATGTTAATATATTAATTTAGCCATAATCAAACAGGTTTTTTTTTAAGTATCAAGATTCAGTGTGTTTACTCTGTCTAGAACATTTCATACCACTTCCTCTCAAGATGTTGGTTTTCTAAACTGGAAGCATTAAACATACATTATGCAAGGGCTAAATCTGCCTATTGCAGGTCTTTCTTTAGGCCTGGAATGTTTTCTAAATTATTAATTAGACATTAATTAACTTATCCAGCCCACAATCAACTCTCGATGGCATCAGATTTCTCTGATATTAAATAGATTAAAACAGTTCAGCCATATAAGTTAAAAATGGAGGAGCGAGACTTTGCTTCGAACAACCAGTACGGTGGTTCAAATTATTGCACAAGTCTTGTCAAACCTTCAAAGGCTAATGTCTTCGCTCGCAATAGAATAATTTAAATGAAATGTTCAAATTATTCATTTTACATTATCTATTTTCGAATTATTATAGCAAGAATGGCTAGCTCTTTATCTAAATCTTACATAATGTATCTTTAATCCAGAAAATCCTAAATCCGATCTGTGTCAAATACTTCAGCTCTAGAAATAGATATATAGGCTTCATATATTTATGAATAATGGAATTTACGGAGAATAAATCGGAGAGTAAATACTTGAATATTAAGAAAATACTGATTTGTATTATGATAAAATGAAAGCACTTGTACGATTAATGTTAATATTATTGTATATTATATAGAGTTAGTTGACTGTGTTAGCTGAAGGATCTGTTAGAGGCGTATCTTTATTTTCTATTGTTCGATATACAATAAGACCATAGTTCACTCAAGTATTTTATTGGTATATACATTTTATATAAATATTAACCACAGAAAAATAACGGATTGACAAATCCAACCTTTCATGAAATCTATTTCATTTGAAATGATTTCAAAATTATAATATTCAACAAAAACCAACAATTTCAACTTTTATCTTGGGGGATAATTTGAGAGAGAGAGAGAGAGAGAGAGAGAGAGAGAGAGAGAGAAATGGGTTTAGCGTCCACTCGACACAACTAGGTCATTTTCGGACAAACACGTGGTTCAATTTTATTTCAATAATTCGCTTGCGCGTAGGGAAACCGGAGGACCCGGAGAAACCCACGAGGTTGGACAGGCGACCCCACTCCTTGTCACGTACAACCGGGGAATCGAAACCCCGCCAGTTGACTCAACGGCAGACCTTATGATACAGCGCGCACGTGCTAACCATTCGGCCACCCAACGCCCAGGGGATAATTTGAGGGCATGCTTATTATTGTCGTTAAAATCAAGATTTCTTAACAAAGACTCCTATATTAAAGGCATTTTGGGGGATACATTGATGGAAGCGATATAAGTAATGTATGTGATAGCAAGACGATTTCTTATATTGAAACAATTGATTTAGGATTTAAAGATTGTTATATTCTACTAATTAAATAAAAACATTTTTCTCTGATTAATTTCTATATAGTTAATAATGAGATAGAAACTGCCATCTATATATCATTATAACAAAGCATTCATTAAGCTTATAGATGAAAAAAGAAGTTCGCCTAGGAGAATAAGCTTCGTTCCGCTCTTACCACAAATAAATGCGGGTGATTTTTTTTCAGATATGAATGTAAGAAAATTAATATCCCCTTATTGTGTCTGGGATTTGGCTGAGCAGGATATCTTAATTCCTTTTGATATCAATATAATTTCAGTTATTAAATCATCATTACCCTGGCCTACAACCACAAATGATATATCTCCTTTATTACCGCCATTAGTTATATGGAATTGCGTTTCGTTTGTGGATTCTAAAAGCAGTTATTTTATCCAACGATTGTTTTTGTTCTTGCCGCTATATAATGATCGCGCCTCTCGAGACAAAGTTTCGTCTCGCGGCTAATTTTCCGCGAGGTTTCGCCTCGAGGAACTTCAATGAGGGTCGGAACGATGGCCCTCCCTCCAGACTCTTCTAAAGCCTAAGGGGATCTGCAGCTTTCCCGTTCGTTTCCCCAATCAACAGACAATAACATTAAATCTGAACATATCAGTCACGATGCATGTCTGAAAATTATCAGCTTCGATGCCTATATGTAGAGTTTGAAGAACATCGTTCATTAGTTACTGTGTGGAAAAAAAAAGGAATTTTTGTCCAATGGATCTGCGACAGTTATTTTACAGTCGCTCAAACACAGATTTTTGAGAGGATGAAAAAAACTTCGAGTAAATTAATTTAGAAAATTATTTGATTTTCCAACCGCTCCAAAAGGCGTGAAAAATCATGAAGTCAGCGATATATTAACTCGGCAACTCATTACAAAAATTATACAAGATATTATAGAATAAAAAATGTAAGTTAGGATGTCAAATATTGAATAGATTCCGATATAACTCACTTTCACTACTACTAATGAATTTATTTTTGTAACGGGATCATTAGGTTCTGTGTATTTTTTTAAAGAGTGGTTTTTATTCAATTGAATTTATAAATTGAAACTTTACACTATGTGAATATAAATTATTTACTTTTTTTTTTTTTGCATTTTTTCTATTGGGAGTATATTTAAAATTAGATATATTGATGGAGATCTGTTTTCCTAATAAAGACTGAGATTAATTTAAAGCTCTATTTTGCATATTAAATCAGTATTTTAATCTATATTCATAACGCGTCTGTAAATTAAAATCCAGGTAATTAAATGTATTAATTAAAGGTATATATCAGCATAGTTACTTATTTTAACAATGAGTGACATCGCCAATAGTCTGAGGGAACAGTCAATTCTCGTTAATGATCAATTTAAATGATATTTACAATTAATTAATAAATCCAAGCGATATCATCATTGGTTTATTGTTCCCTTATACGCCATTAGCACATTTATACGTTATAAAAGTACGCGGGAAAATAAAAATGATTGAATAAAATGGGGTTTAACGTCCTACTTTTATGCACAAACCGGGATAATGAAGACCGGATAATAAAAACACATTTTAACACAATTTTCATTAACAAATATATATATATATATATATATATTTTTAATTGGAGAAATGTAAATTTGTTCACTCAAAGACCGGAATAAATTTAGTTTAGGTTTTTTAGAATAATAACTTGTATATAGTTTTTTTCGTTGATCAAATCAAAATAGTCGTTAAAAAGGAGATATTGGAGAGATAATTAAGAGACTTTTGGTCAACATAATCGTAGAAAGTCAATTATATCGTCATTATTTAAAACCAATCGGCTTTTATTTTCCCTTCTATTATGGTCGCTTTTCACTTATTTCCAGATTAATTACAACTTAAGCCAAGTCTTGCCAGAGAGATCAACAAAAACATAAAATTGGAGATAGTGTTTCACGAGAAAAAGTAATAGAAGTTGAAAAACTGCACTTGGCTCATATCCGTAGAGCCGCGTCGTTCTGCTCCTCCCAAACTGTTTTCAATCTTCGACAACAATATGACGGGAAATAAGTATATAGGAGACTCCATTAGTCCACGTCTCGCTTCGATAGCTTAAAAATACCACGTTACTTGTAGCCGGTGATAACCCAAACATTTGCCATCAAGAAGCAACTCGGTTTATTAGCATGAAAGGGGGACAAGACAAGCTAACAACCACGAAACGTACATCGTAACTTGAGTGACAGGTGAAATGCCTTAGTTTGACAGGTATCAATAAAATGCTTATTAAGTTCGAGTGAATTTCAATACATTTGTCAAAAATATTAGATGCCTTTTTTCATCCAACAACTTAAATTAGACGACGTTAAAGAGAACAAGTTGTTGTCTCTAATTTCTGGAACAGGATACGATCAAGAAAATAGATTTTCAATAATCGTATTTAATTGTTAAATGGTGTTATAGACAATACTATATACTTATCCGACCTTTTAACATTTCCATCTTTCTTAATAACACTAACAGTTTATCAAAATGTAATTCTAATTAATTCCCCAATAAAAATCAAGAGAACCAAAACATACCTTTTATTCTACCACCTTTTCTCTGAAAATAACTGGCACACGTCGCCGCTGCTGCTTGGCTGAAAGGCCCGTAAGGTCCCATGGTGGGGGAGAAGTACCCATTGCCCTCGGCCCCCTGATTAAAGTTCGCATAAGAGCAGGCTGATGGGAATTCGTATTTACAATGAGGGTTCACTTGGGGGTAGTTATACCCCGTTCTAAAGGGATAACTTCCACCCTCCCCAAAATATATCATGTCCATTCTTTTATCCACTTCGACGAAATTACCATATAACAATTTTCAAAAGTTCAGCTAGTACACAAAAAAGTCCGAGCAAGTTTCAGTTGGTGAAAAACACAAATCAGTTATAACTTTGCTGTATCTCTTCCAAAATGACTGGCAATTGTTCAAAGTGCTAAAGAACAGCTTTATCTTCCCATTAAAGTTTATTAATCACTTAATTGAATAATGATTGTTAATCGTTTCGTAGTCCAAGTCTCATCCGTAAAAAACAACAACAAAAGGCAGATGCACTATGTTTAGAAGCTGCGACAACACTGAAAACTTTAGTCCACACAAGTTATTCAACACAAGCTATCAAATAAATGAGGCTCTCTCCCACCGGTGTAAATTACTGTCTTGCCAATGGACATGAATTTTCATGTGCCCATTAATGAAGGAGACAAATGGCGAAATGGTGAGCCCTCTTCTCTTTACTGCGATGGAATGCTCATCATACATACAGCAAGCACCGAGATCAGCATGCAAATCCAGAATTCGACACCTCGGCGAGGTTTGTCTTCTGATTAATACATGTGCGTTGCGGTGAGACGAGAGAGAACGCTTGTTTCACAATTAGTGTTAATTTCTTCACGAGTACCGTCAAGTGACGCACGCTTTAACCGACTCAACTTCTAGCTGTACATGTGTTGTATTAATAGCAAGAAAGATGTTGAGAAAAGTCTTAACACTGCCTGATCAAGCCCTTCAGCAAATCTTGAGATCAGATAGGCGTAACTAACAGAGAAACCAACGTTGGTACTTATAATACACGCTTATAGTCGGTCTGTATCCTGGACATCTACATGGAATCTACGAACCATTCCTACACTAATCAATCATTATATCTAAACTCATATTCATTGAAACTGACAAACGCCAATTGATGCCTCGTCGTTCAACCGAATAAAAATAATGCTCTGACTTCAGTCGACGACCGACGTATATAAGAGGAAATGGCATGCGTATCGCTTTGAAAACTATTTAAATAGTGTCTATTACGTGTTCATTAAGAGTATTTTATTGATATGTGCAGTTTTCATATTAAAATATCATTATTTTCATAAAGAAAAAAAAGAGAAAGACATAAAAAATGAATTTCTTATCAACTGTTGAAATCGATACAATGTGATACAGTCTATTGTATGGAATAATTTACCTATTTGGTAATTTACCTTTCAAATATGCCGTTTTATATTTGAAACTGGTGGTTGACTGCACATAGTATAGGTAAAATATATTCAAGAACAGATTATTTCAATAGAATATAATAAATTTCTTCAGGTGTGTCTTCAGGTGTGAAGAATTATATATCGACATTAAACCACATATGTATGATGGTCTACGTAAACCACAGAAACGTGTGACATTTTATAGAAATCATGGAAACAAAAAACAAAATTTGAAGAGTTTTGCGACAAATTCACACCAAGCATGCTTATACCGTCTCGAAGACTGGACTACCCTTAAGTTTAGGAAGTACTTAAGTTGAAAACTCGTTCGGTCAAAATTATAAAGATTTTTTTTTACCAAACATTTTAACTTGAAATCGACACCTGGCCAATTAAGAAAGTTTAAACAAAATTTCCCAAGGTACCTATATTTACTAAAGAACAATTGGCATCAACACAAATTTCTTTTATAATTTTAATTTATCCAAATAAAGGAAAAATGAATCGATTTCCCCTTGGTTTGAAATGAACAAATGCGATGCAATTGTGACGGTTTGTCTTTTAGCAGATGTAGAAGTTGTCGTTTATCAAGGGAATGGGAATTGTCTATGGAGCTATTTCATTTTTATAACTGCGTTTTTAAAATATAAAAAGCTTTGATGCTGTGATAATGGTGACTAATATAATGTAAATATACTTTTAAGGTGCTTGATAATCTCGTCAATATTACTGATGAGTGGTAAAAATCTCGAACACAAATTTTCCTGCTTCTGAATTCCCCAGACGAACCTTCAGCGAAGAATGTAGTCGGCTTTATGGACATCTATACCATTCTCCGTCCAAATTTAATATTTTGATGGAACTTTCGATTTGATCCCGAGGTTATGGCGGGGTCTCTTTAGTGACGAGTTGTATTGCCAGAAGCGACGTCTGCTAATGGTAATAGACATGCTTAATGGCGGCCCGGCGATGAAACAAACACAAACTCTTAGTAAACTCTTTTAAGCAAATTGATACAGCTATGAGCTATAATATAAGGACGAGGGAAAATTGTCCCTTGTCGTGTTTGGTTTTATCCTGGTGCTTGCTGTTCTTGGCGAGGATTTAACAGTAATAGGAAGACGATGGCTGTTAACAGAAAACTAAGTTAACGATGCGAAATTGATTTGAGCTGTTAATGCGAGTGCTGATGCGATATCTCGTAGCAGTAATTGGCGCTTAACCACCGCACCAAAACCCCACTTGGCATCATGGATCTGTTATATTCATATTTTCTTAATAACCACGTATTAAAGTCCATAACACTTTATTGTATTGCTGACGACAAGAACGTGAGATAAGATGCGATATATTTGCCGCTAGGGGGCGGTAGCGATTCCCGCGGGATGATCGACACAATTTCCTTAACTGTGGCTCTCGACACCAAAGTCTCTTTGTACTCAAGATGGTTATCGCTTTCAATTAAATGTTGACAAATTTATGCGTCTTTGTTTTCTAACCATTAATATTATAGCCAATTGACATGACAGTAGTGATTAGGCCCACAATACACAATACACAACAAAATTGTCATCCATAACAACCACTTTCGAGTTTGCAATTATACACTATCTTAAACCCAAATATCCCGTATCTTAGCTGCCATTACAATCAAAGCCTAATTTATTTTCCAATCAAATAGGCCTTAAAAAAACAAAACAGAAATGGAAAAAATGATTCCTAAACAAATCAATCCAGTGCTCTCTTTATGTAGCTGTTTTGTAGAACTTAGAGACTTTTTAGAATAGAAAACCCGATTTCACTGGCCAAATTTAAGCTATATTTGTATTCTAACGATTTAAATTCAGGGGTGCGAGGGGGGGGGGGGTACATTTCTTATACGCCAATATTTAAAAATTTCAAATTAATTTTAGAAAAGATTTTCGTGGAGTTACTTTCAGCAAATTGGAAGTTTGGGAAGATTTCGTAATAGAATTGTTAATAGCCTGGATGGATTCATCTACAAAGTGCTCTATGGGATTTGATGATAGTAATTTTAGAGCTAGCACTGACGAGTTCGTCTGTTTTGTGATGCATTAGCATGCAGAAAAAAACAAACAACTATCTTCCTTTATTGTTTTCGTATAGCTAGTTCGATATTTTGGATTCGTTCTTATTTTAATAATTTTAACTTCAATCTGATTAAAATACAGATCTATATTTCGTTTCGTTTTTTTATACTTTCGATGGCCTACACTACATGAAGTAAAGACAAGTAAAACGAAATTTTGAACTATAAAAACGAAAAGAAATAGGATCTGTGTTTTAACCAGATTGTTTTAACTTTCACTAGCTAATTCAGTTTTTATTTTATTTTAAATGCATAAGTTCTAAAATGAACCCTACTGATACTGTGGGCTTTCTCGATAATTTTGAACCTAGTCCAAATACATCAACCCTATATAATATCTGGCGTGATCTATTTGGGGTTTTATTCTTATAATTACAATAATTATGTTATTTTATGTAATTTATAAATTAAGTCTACTCGAATGTCTTCATTATTTTTACTTAAATACAAGTAACTAAAATCCAGACGACTTTCCAAAACTTTATGAAGGGGAATAAATCTCTCCGACAACGACAAGTGACACATAGACTCGATTAAATTAGTCATTTATTGGATGTGTCCATAACGATTTTTAAAAAGTAGGGAATTTTCGGTAAAGGTAATTAAGTTTGTAGTTGTTGTTTTTTTTTATTCGAGGAGTAAAATTGGCAATCTATTATCACCCTAAACTATCTCGTAAATGTCGGTAAACACGTGGAGGTAATTTTTCTTTCCTAATTCTGAATGAACCAAATTTTCACCTTTTTGCAATAAAATCAAGGGAAATGGCGGATCGTAATCAATTTGAACAAGAAGTGACAAAGCGGAACGCGATAAAATTGGCAACTATATATTTTAGCCAATCAAATAATTTATCAGCCAAGAAGCGTTCACCATACCATATAATATAATAAGACATAAGATATTATCCCTAAACGTGCTTCATCAATTTTTGGCCGCTTTAGTTAAAATTACAGCTTTCTCAGACCACAGATAACTTATTTTTTTCTGAAGCGCTGAAAGCAAACAAGTTATTTCATTCAACTAATCAATAAAAACTAACTTGAGAAAAAAAGAAGAAAGGGTGTTAGTCCTGAGATGAGGAGAGGGAAGACATTGATATGAAATTACCAAAACAAAAAATGGAGGAAAACGGAATGTAAAAAAAAAGGGCATCTACACATCTTCAATGAAGCAAACTGCTATTTTCAGAAGTATCATCTAACAAAATAATTAGCATGGAAAATCATTAATGAAGTTTTATTCACTTTAATTAGATTTGTGCCAGCCATCGGAAAAGGGCAAGTCAATTTGAGGAGAATAGTAATAAGAGGAATAGCGAGCGAGCTAGTTGATAACTCTATGTATCAGTTCAGTGAGCTGAAAAATTGCATTATTTTTACCGACAGTTTCAAACTCGAAGGGTTTATAGAAAGATTGGGTCGAGAAGGGAGCAAAGTCGAGAAAATGCGCTAGTTTGAAAGATGGTGGCCAAATGTTGAGAAAATTAAAAGGGCGGATTGAAAAGAGAAAATAATCGAAATGAGTCCCCAGTGAAACTGTACTGGGAATAGTGAGGTCGTTTACTGACATCTAATATGACAAGTGAGTTACTGATTTCCTTTCATCCGTTCTGCATTTCTTTCATTGAAATTGATTTGATAATATTTACGTAATTTCTCAATTAATGACATCATTTATAATATATTGTGGATTGCCATGTCTGCTGGCTATATAGTTGCATTAAATATTATATTTGATGACTGCTATCAACTTGTAATAACAACACCGTTATGTTAACCCCAGTCCTTGCTTCAAGTCGCCAACTGCATCTCACAAACGGGGCAAATTCAGTTAAAATCACCAACATCAACAAAACAATACATTACTAAAAAAACAAAAAAATCTCGCACGTCAAAATATCCCCCAACAAATTTGCACACCAATTTCAGAATTCAATAATTTCACATAAAAGAATCCTATCTTCAAAACAAAAACTGATTACTTTTAAATTCAATTTATGGCATAGACAAATATTTTTTGAAACAGCGATTACTGCAGATATTGAAATAATAATTGAAATAAACCTATGACCGCATCAAAAATATTTACATTAAAGTCCTCGATCGCGATAATAAACATTAAGGTTCTTGGCAATGTAAACATTTTCTTATAAAAGCAAATAATACATTTTGAATAATAAAAATAGGGTTTATTATTTTCAAAAATAATGTGCGTTTAACGGGTTCCTTATAGAAACCAGGAAGTGTTATACTGCTTCTCAAATAACAGATAAACATTCAAATTTGTTTCCTATTTTAAAAACTTTGGATGATCTTCACTGCAGGAAGAGAAAGCAAAATTTGGACTTCAGCGAGAAAAAAACGAGACGAAATAGGACCTGTGTTTTAATTAAATGGGTGTCTGACAAACATTGCGGAGGGTAAATCTATGTTATTGC